GACCCATCTAATACAGTTCCCCTTAGAACCATGCTGTATTGGCCAGTGAGTCCCATCTAATACAGTTCCCCTTAGAACCATGCTGTGTTGGTCAGTGAGACCCAACTAATACAGTTCCCCTTAGAACCATGCTGTATTGGCCAGTGAGACCCATCTAATACAGTTCCCCTTAGAACCATGCTGTGTTGGCCAGTGAGACCCATCTAATACAGTTCCCCTTAGAACCATGCTGTATTGGTCCATCTAATACAGTTCCCCTTAGAACCATGCTGTATTGGTCAGTGAGACCCATCTAATACAGTTCCCCTTAGAACCATGCTGTATTGGTCCATCTAATACAGTTCCCCTTAGAACCATGCTGTATTGGCCAGTGAGTCCCATCTAATACAGTTCCCCTTAGAACCATGCTGTATTGGCCAGTGAGACCCATCTAATACAGTTCCCCTTAGAACCATGCTGTGTTGGCCAGTGAGACCCATCTAATACAGTTCCCCTTAGAACCATGCTGTATTGGCCAGTGAGACCCATCTAATACTGTTTCCCTTAGAACCATGCTGTATTGGCCAGTGAGACCCATCTTATACAGTTTCCCTTTGAACCATGCTGTATTGGTCCATCTAGTACAGTTTCCCTTAGAACCATGCTGTATTGGCCAGTGAGACCCATCTAATACAGTTTCCCTTAGAACCATGCTGTATTGGCCAGTGAGACCCATCTCATACAGTTCCCCTTAGAACCATGCTGTATTGGCTAGTGAGACCCATCTAATACAGTTTCCCTTAGAACCATGCTGTATTGGCCAGTGAGACCCATCTAATACAGTTTCCCTTAGAACCATGCTGTATTGGCCAGTGAGACCCATCTAATACAGTTCCCCTTAGAACCATGCTGTATTGGCTAGTGAGACCCATCTAATACAGTTCCCCTTAGAACCATGCTGTATTGGTCCATCTAATACAGTTCCCCTTAGAACCATGCTGTATTGGTCAGTGAGACCCATCTTATACAGTTCCCCTTAGAACCATGCTGTATTGGCCAGTGAGTCCCATCTAATACAGTTCCCCTTAGAACCATGCTGTGTTGGTCAGTGAGACCCATCTAATACAGTTCCCCTTAGAACCATGCTGTATTGGCCAGTGAGACCCATCTAATACAGTTCCCCTTAGAACCATGCTGTATTGGTCAGTGAGACCCATCTAATACAGTTCCCCTTAGAACCATGCTGTATTGGCCAGTGAGACCCATCTAATACAGTTCCCCTTAGAACCATGCTGTATTGGTCCATCTAATACAGTTCCCCTTAGAACCATGCTGTATTGGCCAGTGAGACCCATCTAATACAGTTTCCCTTAGAACCATGCTGTATTGGCCAGTGAGTCCCATCTAATACAGTTCCCCTTAGAACCATGCTGTGTTGGTCAGTGAGACCCAACTAATACAGTTCCCCTTAGAACCATGCTGTATTGGCCAGTGAGACCCATCTAATACAGTTCCCCTTAGAACCATGCTGTGTTGGCCAGTGAGACCCATCTAATACAGTTCCCCTTAGAACCATGCTGTATTGGCCAGTGAGTCCCATCTAATACAGTTCCCCTTAGAACCATGCTGTGTTGGTCAGTGAGACCCAACTAATACAGTTCCCCTTAGAACCATGCTGTATTGGCCAGTGAGACCCATCTAATACAGTTCCCCTTAGAACCATGCTGTGTTGGCCAGTGAGACCCATCTAATACAGTTCCCCTTAGAACCATGCTGTATTGGTCCATCTAATACAGTTCCCCTTAGAACCATGCTGTATTGGTCAGTGAGACCCATCTAATACAGTTCCCCTTAGAACCATGCTGTATTGGTCCATCTAATACAGTTCCCCTTAGAACCATGCTGTATTGGCCAGTGAGTCCCATCTAATACAGTTCCCCTTAGAACCATGCTGTATTGGCCAGTGAGACCCATCTAATACAGTTCCCCTTAGAACCATGCTGTGTTGGCCAGTGAGACCCATCTAATACAGTTCCCCTTAGAACCATGCTGTATTGGTCCATCTAATACAGTTCCCCTTAGAACCATGCTGTATTGGTCAGTGAGACCCATCTAATACAGTTCCCCTTAGAACCATGCTGTATTGGCCAGTGAGACCCATCTAATACAGTTCCCCTTAGAACCATGCTGTATTGGCCAGTGAGACCCATCTAATACAGTTCCCCTTAGAACCATGCTGTATTGGCCAGTGAGACCCATCTAATACTGTTTCCCTTAGAACCATGCTGTATTGGCCAGTGAGACCCATCTTATACAGTTTCCCTTTGAACCATGCTGTATTGGTCCATCTAGTACAGTTTCCCTTAGAACCATGCTGTATTGGCCAGTGAGACCCATCTAATACAGTTTCCCTTAGAACCATGCTGTATTGGCCAGTGAGACCCATCTCATACAGTTCCCCTTAGAACCATGCTGTATTGGCTAGTGAGACCCATCTAATACAGTTTCCCTTAGAACCATGCTGTATTGGCCAGTGAGACCCATCTAATACAGTTCCCCTTAGAACCATGCTGTATTGGCCAGTGAGACCCATCTAATACAGTTCCCCTTAGAACCATGCTGTATTGGTCAGTGAGACCCATCTAATACAGTTCCCCTTAGAACCATGCTGTATTGGCCAGTGAGACCCATCTAATACAGTTCCCCTTAGAACCATGCTGTATTGGCCAGTGAGACCCATCTAATACAGTTCCCCTTAGAACCATGCTGTGTTGGTCAGTGAGTCCCATCTTATACAGTTTCCCTTAGAACCATGCTGTATTGGTCAGTGAGTCCCATCTTATACAGTTTCCCTTAGAACCATGCTGTATTGGTCAGTGAGACCCATCTAATACAGTTCACCTTAGAACCATGCTGTATTGGTCCATCTAATACAGTTGAAGTTTAAGAAAAAATTATGTTTACCAACATCTAAAAAGAGGTTTTCCGTTGTGTATTTATGTGGTGTTCACAGAAAGGTTGGAAGCTGATCGTCAATTGATACAGAATCTGTTTTGTGAATGTAGAAATGACTGATGTGTGAATGTAGAAATGACTGATGTGTGAATGTAGATATGACTGATGTGTGAACGTAGAAATGACTGATGTGTGAACGTAGAAATGACTGTAGAAATGACTGATGTGTGAACGTAGAAATGACTGTGTGAATGTAGAAATGACTGTGTAGGGCTGCATTATGATACACCTAAGTCACGATTCGATATGTATCTCGATACGCTACGATACATATTGTGACAAGAGAAGACAAGAGATAAATGAATATAACTTAGTTTATTAAAATGAAAAAAAATAATGAAAGTGAATGAATGTTCATGAGTCATAAAATATATATTGTAATGAGTAATTTAACTTAATTAATCATCTGCCATTTCCATGTAATGGCTAGCAAACACAAAAGTAACAGTCCTACATATTTGTGAGTTGTGACTAGATGGTAGGAGTAAATACTAAATGTACCAGTGTCCAGTAACTAATGATTTGCCATTTTCATGTATAAAGGCAAAAAACAATTAAAAACAATTATAGCAACAGCCATGTTATACAACATTTGAAAGGTCTAATCCTAGTGTTTATAAATATGAAAGTTATGTTTATCACATTATTTAAATAATGCATTGACAACTTAATTAAGTTCGTTGTAAATTATAAAAATGTGAGCTAACACATTCATAACGTCCAAATTAAGGACCAAAGAAGCAAAAATTTGACGATTTGGGGCAAATATAAGATTTCAAAAGATCTACTTATCATTTCTTTTTTATTTTCATTATTTACGTAATTGAAAAATTATTTTAAAAAGAATTATGAATAGTATCTGTTTTCACCCATTTCCAGATAACAACGGCTGTCCGCTCAGTGACATGAAGAGATACCCCCGTTTTCGAAAGCTTCGTATGAATAACACGTTTGTCGAAGAAAGCTTGTTTGTTCATCTACACGCTCGTAACATTGCTTGGAGTCTTTTCGTTGCTATAACATCAGATTTCATTGGATAACAAATTGTTTCTAACGACGCTTTCTTGTCGAAATCTGCTACAAGGTTCATGATTGGTCAAATTTGAGCACGTGACTTGAGGCAGGCAAATTACAAATCCTCGTGTATGATGAATTTCAGATATTTACGAAATATTTTGGTTAAATCGTGTTATTCTGAACGTTTTAAGCAGGAAATCGCGATCTATTTTAAAAATATGGAGCTTCGTGGATGTATCATTTTAGGTTGAAAGCTGTGACAAAGATTTTTCATGCATATATTTTGGCATTGAACATCGTGTCCGAGCCGAGAATTCGAGGCGACGGAAGCCTAGATGTCATTTGACTAACATTTAACATGCAATCGCATGAAAAGATGGAAATAATAACTTAGCTGTAAGTTTGACCATTTTTAGATATATTTTTATTGATTTTATTTATCACTTTGTATAACATATTTAAAGATTTGCTTGAAACGTCTTTGTTTTGCTCTTTGACATGTTCGATGTGCACCCATTGTCGAAGTGTGAGTCCGAGAATTATATTTTCAATGACATTGCGGGAAATAGTGAATAACTTTTTAATCTATCGATAAAAAATGATAAATTGAAATAGAATACGTATTTCAGACATTGTGAGATGTGATAGATTTAATAAATGAATGGTATGACAGGTAGGTTCTTAAAACTATTTTGACGTGACTACGGCTTGGCCGGTTAACCGGCCTACGGACCCTAGGGACTCGATGCTTCTTGGCCGGTTTACCGGCCTACAGCGTTGAAAGAGTTAAAACACATTTAAAACGTATCTGTGATAAAAGTTTATTACAAAAAACAAGACGTACATATATACGTCTTTGAAAAAACGTATCGTGAAAAATCGAGATACCGCACCTCACAAATCGCACACCGTATCGTATGGAGTGAATAGCGATGCATCGGTGTCCCGGGATATCGTTTCAGCCCTACTGATGTGTGAATGGGATTTTTTCAAATGGCTGAACTGATGACACATATTAGTATCTCTTGGAACTTGCTATGGTAATGGTGACTCGGTTGCTCTGGAAGGCTGGCAGTTGCTGTTGGATGGTGACTTGCTTTTGGATGGTGACTGTTGCTGTTGGATGGTGACTGTTGCTGATGCATGGTGGCTGTTTCTGATGCATGGTGACTGTTGCTGTTGGCAGGTGACTGTTGCTGATGCATGGTGGCTGTTGCTGTTGGTCGGTGACTGTTGCTGATGCATGGTGGCTGTTGCTGTTGGAGGGTGACTGTTGCTGTTGGAAGTCGACTGTTGCTGATGGACGGTGGCTGTTTCTGATGCATGGTGACTGTTGCTGTTGGTCGGTGACTGTTGCTGTTGGTCGGTGACTGTTGCTGATGCATGGTGGCTGTTTCTGATGCATGGTGACTGTTGCTGTTGGTCGGTGACTGTTGCTGATGCATGGTGGCTGTTTCTGATGCATGGTGACTGTTGCTGTTGGAGGGTGACTGTTGCTGATGCATGATGGCTGTTTCTGATGCATGGTGACTGTTGCTGTTGGACGGTGACTGTTGCTGTTGGAAGGTGACTGTTGCTGATGGACGGTGATTGTTGCTGTTGGACGTTGACTGTTGCTGATGCATGGTGGCTGTTTCTGATGCATGGTGGCTGTTTCTGATGCATGGTGACTGTTGCTGTTGGTCGGTGACTGTTGCTGATGCATGGTGGCTGTTTCTGATGCATGGTGACTGTTGCTGTTGGAGGGTGACTGTTGCTGATGCATGGTGGCTGTTTCTGATGCATGGTGACTGTTGCTGTTTGAAGGTGACTGTCGCTGTTGAATGGTGACTGTTGCTGATGGACGGTGATTGTTGCTGTTGGACGTTGACTGTTGCTGATGCATGGTGGCTGTTTCTGATGCATGGTGACAGTTGCTGTTGGTCAGTGACTGTTGCTGATGCATGGTGGCTGTTTCTGATGCATGGTGGCTGTTTCTGATGCATGGTGGCTGTTGCTGTTGGACCTTGACTGTTGCTGATGCATGGTGGCTGTTTCTGATGCATGGTGACTGTTGCTGTTGGTCGGTGACTGTTGCTGATGCATGGTGGCTGTTTCTGATGCATGGTGGCTGTTGCTGTTGGAGGGTGACTGTTGCTGTTGGAAGGTAACTGTTGCTGATGGATGGTGACTGTTGCTGTTGGACGGTGACTGTTGCTGTTGGACGGTGACTGTTGCTGTTGGACGGTGACTGTTGCTGATGCATGGTGACTGTTGCAGTTTGAAGGTGAATGTTGCTGTTTGAAGATGACTGTTGCTGTTTGATGGTGACTGTTGCTGTTGGACTGTGACTGTTGCTGATGAACGGTGACTGTTGCTGTTGGACGGTGACTGTTGCTGATGCATGGTGACTGTTGCTGATGCATGGTGACTGTTGCTGATGCACGGTGACTGTTGCTGTTTGAAGATGACTGTTGCTGTTTGAAGATGACTGTTGCTGTTTGAAGATGACTGGTGCTGTTGGATGGTGATTGTTGCTGTTTGAAGGTGACTGTTGCTGTTGGATGGTGACTGTTGCTGATGCAAGGTGACTGTTGCTGATGCATGGTGACTGTTGCTGATGCATGGTGACTGTTGCTGTTGGTCGGTGACTGTTGCTGATGCATGGTGATTGTTGCTGTTGGACTTTGACTGTTGCTGATGCATGGTGGCTGTTTCTGATGCATGGTGACTGTTGCTGTTGGACGGTGACTGTTGCTGTTGGACGGTGACTGTTGCTGATGCATGGTGACTGTTGCTGATGCACGGTGACTGTTGCTGTTTGAAGATGACTGTTGCTGTTTGAAGATGACTGTTGCTGTTGGATGGTGACTGTTGCTGATGCAAGGTGACTGTTGCTGATGCATGGTGACTGTTGCTGATGCATGGTGACTGTTGCTGATGCATGGTGACTGTTGCTGATCCATGGTGACTGTTGCTGATGCATGGTGGCTGTTTCTGATGCATGGTGACTGTTGCTGTTGGTCGGTGCCTCTTGCTGATGCATGGTGGCTGTTTCTGATGCATGGTGACTGTTTCTGATGCATGGTGACTGTTACTGTTGGTCGGTGACTGTTGCTGATGCATGGTGGCTGTTTCTGATGCATGGTGACTGTTGCTGTTGGAAGGTGACTGTCGCTGTTGAATGGTGACTGTTGCTGATGCATGGTGACTGTTTCTGATGCATGGTGACTGTTACTGTTGGAAGGTGACTGTCGCTGTTGAATGGTGACTGTTGCTGATGCATGGTGACTGTTGCTGTTGGTTGGTGACTGTTGCTGATACATGGTGGCTGTTTCTGATGCATGGTGGCTGTTGCTGATGCATGGTGGCTGTTTCTGATGCATGGTGACTGTTGCTGTTGGTCGGTGACTGTTGCTGATGCATGGTGGCTGTTTCTGATGCATGGTGGCTGTTGCTGTTGGAGGGTGACTGTTGGTGATGGATGGTGACTGTTGCTGTTGGAGGGTGACTGTTGCTGATGCATGGTGACTGTTGCTGATGCACGTTGACTGTTGCTGATGCAAGGTGACTGTTGCTGTTTGAAGGTGAATGTTGCTGTTTGAAGATGACTGTTGCTGTTGGATGGTGACTGTTGCTGTTGGACTGTGACTGTTGCTGATGAACGCTGACTGTTGCTGTTTGAAGATGACTATTGCTGTTGGATGGTGATTGTTGCTGTTTGAAGGTGACTGTTGCTGTTGGATGGTGACTGTTGCTGATGCAAGGAGACTGTTGCTGATGCAAGGTGACTGTTGCTGATGCATGGTGACTGTTGCTGCTGCATGGTGACTGTTGCTGATGCATGGTGACTGTTGCTGATGCATGGTGACTGTTGCTGATGCATGGTGGCTGTTTCTGATGCATGGTGGCTGTTTCTGATGCGTGGTGGCTGTTGCTGTTGGAGGGTGACTGTTGCTGATGGATGGTGACTGTTGCTGTTGGACGGTGACTGTTGCTGATGCATGGTGACTGTTGCTGATGCACGGTGACTGTTGCTGTTTGAAGGTGAATGTTGCTGTTTGAAGATGGCTGTTGCTGTTGGATGGTGACTGTTGCTGTTGGACTGTGACTGTTGCTGATGAACGCTGATTGTTGCTGTTTGAAGTTGACTGTTGCTGTTGGACAGTGACTGTTGCTGTTGGACAGTGACTGTTGCTGATGCATGGTAACAGTTGCTGATGCACGGTGACTGTTGCTGTTGGATGGTGACTGTTGCTGTTGGATTGTGACTGTTGCTGTTGGATTGTGACTGTTGCTGATGCATGGTGACTGTTGCTGATGCATGGTGGCTGTTTCTGATGCATGATGACTGTTGCTGTTGGATGGTGACTGTTGCTGATGGACGGTGACTGTTGCTGTTGGACGTTGATTGTTGCTGAGGCATGGTGGCTGTTTCTGATGCATGGTGACTGTTGCCGTCGGAAGGTGACTGTTGCTGATGGACGGTGATTGTTGCTGTTGGTCGGTGACTGTTGCTGTAGGTCGGTGACTGTTGCTGATGCATGGTGGCTGTTGCTTTTGGAGGGTGACTGTTGCTGTTGGAAGTCGACTGTTGCTGATGGATGGTGACTGTTGCTGATGGATGGTGACTGTTGCTGATGCATGGTGGCTGTTTCTGATGCATGGTGACTGTTGCTGTTGGTCGGTGACTGTTGCTGATGCATGGTGGCTGTTTCTGATGCATGGTGACTGTTGCTGTTGGAGGGTGACTGTTGCTGATGCATGGTGGCTGTTTTTGATGCATGGTGACTGTTGCTGTTGGAAGGTGACTGTTGCTGATGGACGGTGATTGTTGCTGTTTGACTGTGACTGTTGCTGATGCATGGTGGCTGTTTCTGATGCATGGTGACTGTTGCTGTTGGTCAGTGACTGTTGCTGATGCATGATGGCTGTTTCTGATGCATGGTGACTGTTGCTGTTGGAGGGTGACTGTTGCTGATGCATGGTGGCTGTTTCTGATGCATGGTGACTGTTGCTGTTTGAAGGTGACTGTCGCTGTTGAATGGTGACTGTTGCTGATGGACGGTGATTGTTGCTGTTGGACGTTGACTGTTGCTGATGCTTGGTGGCTGTTTCTGATGCAAGGTGACTGTTGCTGTTGGTCGGTGACTGTTGCTGATGCGTGGTGGCTGTTTCTGATGCATGGTGACTGTTGCTGTTGGAGGGTGACTGTTGCTGATGGAGAGTGACTGTTGCTGATGCATGGTGGCTGTTTCTGATGCATGGTGACTGTTGCTGTTGGAAGGTGACTGTCGCTTTTGAATGGTGACTGTTGCTATGGAAGCCTGCCCCACACAACATTACTACATTGTCTGACTACCCACAACCCCAGCCACATTACTACATTGTCTCAATACCCAAAGCACCAGCCTGCCCCACAGAACATCACTGCATTGTCTCACTACCCAAAACACCAGCCTGCCCCACACAACATTACTACATTGTCTCACTACCCACAACCCCAGCCACATTACTACATTGTCTCACTACCCAGACACGCAGCCACATCACTACATTGTCTCACTACCCACAACCCCAGCCACATTACTACATTGTCTCACTACCCAAAACACCAGCCTGCCCCACAGAACATCACTGCATTGTCTCACTACCCAAAACACCAGCCTGCCCCACACAACATTACTACATTGTCTCACTACCCACAACCCCAGCCACATCACTACATTGTCTCACTACCCAAAACACCAGCCTGCCCCACAGAACATCACTGCATTGTCTCACTACCCAAAACACCAGCCTGCCCCCCAGAACATCACTGCATTGTCTCACTACCCAAAACACCAGCCTGCCCCACACGACATTACTACATTGTCTCACTACCCACAACCCCAGCCACATTACTACATTGTCTCACTACCCAAAACACCAGCCTGCCCCATAGAACATCACTGCATTGTCTCACTACCCAAAACACCAGCCTGCCCCACAGAACATCACTGCATTGTCTCACTACCCAAAACACCAGCCTGCCCCCCAGAACATCACTGCATTGTCTCACTACCCAAAACACCAGCCTGCCCCCCAGAACATCACTGCATTGTCTCACTACCCAGACACGCAGCCACATTACTACATTGTCTCACTACCAAGAACACCAGCCTGCCCCACACATTACTACTACATTGTCTCACTACCCAGACACGCAGCCACATCACTGCATTGTCTCACTACCCACAACCCCAGCCTGCCCCACAGAACATCCCTGCATTGTCTCACTACCCAGCACCCAGCACCCAGTTGTAAGGCTGTCCTGTAGTAAATATCAAGTGTATGAGTATGTAACAATGTCTCCCAGGTCACTCGGAGCTTTGTGTAAGGTGACCATTCAGCATACTGTTTACATACTCATATGGAGGGTAGGCTGTCAAACCGGTCTTCCCCCCTGCACCCCTCCCCCCTCCCCCCTCCCCCCTCCCCCAGCCCTGTGCCTGCTCAAGCGTGAGGGCATTCAGAGCCACCCATTCATACAGGTATACCTCTCGATCGGCCAAGCTGTCAGGCATTTCTTCCTGTGCTCGGATCTACCTGGTGTGATTGTTTGAATTACCTGCTACTAACGAGCTTTCATACAGGTAGGCTTCCCTGTCAGTTTCTTTTGACTGGAGTTGCATTTAATCAGTGGTTAGAAGTTTATTGTTTTGGAAGTTAGGTTTAAAAGTTTTGGAGGTTATCGGAGTGTGTATATCCCTCATGCCTGGAGTGTCATCTGACTCGTCTCGCCCACTCAGGACGCGGTGTGGTGGAATCAATGTTAATGTTCTCCTTGTCAATACTGGACTACAATACAAGGATGGGTTAACTCCATCATCAGGTCTCCATTGACAGGAACATACAGGTATGTCTCTACCTGTTCAGTGACCGTGTGGATTGTCACTGATGAAGTAGTTGGGGGGGGGAGGGTCTGACCTACACCTGTCATCGCTGTCAGTAAGGCTCTCTCTCACATGTGTTGTATCACATTGCTGGATGTAATCATGGTAGCATGGTATTTTATAATATAACATGGTATAACATTTTATAACATTTTATAACATGGTATGACATATAACCTTGTTGATGATTGGACAGGGAAGACAATTATTTTATAAAAGGCTTCAGTTCATCTTCAGTTGGAAAATTTAAAATGACAGTGACAATCAAAACTGAATTGTAATTGTTTATTGTCTTTTGATGGTGAGTTTACTGGAATTATTTGGATTTATGTCTGTCGTTGAAGATATATCGATTCTGTCAATGCCTGTGATCTGTCGTTGAAGATATATCGATTCTGTCAATGTCTGTTATCTGTCTTTGAAGATATATCGATTCTGTCAATGCCTGTTATCTGTCGTTGAAGATATATCGATTCTGTCAATGTCTGTTATCTGTCTTAGAAGATATATCGATTCAGTCAATGCCTGTTATCTGTCTTTGAAGATTTATCGATTCAGTCAATGTCTGTTATCTGTCTTTGAAGATATATCGATTCAGTCAATGTCTGTTATCTGTTTTTGAAGATTTATTGATTCAGTCAATGCCTGTTATCTGTCGTTGAAGATATATCGATTCTGTCAATGTCTGTTATCTGTCTTAGAAGATATATCAATTCTGTCAATGCCTGTTATCTGTCGTTGAAGATATATCGATTCTGTCAATGTCTGTTATCTGTCTTTGAAGATATATCGATTCTCTCAATGCCTGTTATCTGTCGTTGAAGATTTGTCGATTCAATCAATGTCTGTTATCTGTCTTTGATGATTTATCGATTCAGTCAATGTCTGTTATCTGTCTTTGAAGATTTATCGATTCAGTCAAATGTCTGTTATCTGTCTTTGAAGATTTATCAATTCAGTCAATGTCTGTTATCTGTTTTTGAAGATTTATCGATTCAGTCAATGCCTGTTATCTGTCTTTGAAGATATATCGATTCTGTCAATGTCTGTTATCTGTCTTTGAAGATTTATCGATTCTGTCAATGTTTGTTATCTGTCGTTGAAGATTTATCGATTCAGTCAATGTCTGTTATCTGTCTTTGAAGATTTATCGTTTCAGTCAATGTCTGTTATCTGTCTTTGAAGATTTATTGATTCAATCAATGCCTGTTATCTGTCTTTGATGACGGGGATGTGGTACCCTAGTACCTGACATTACCAGTTTCATCTTCTTAACCAACGTATGGAGTGAGCATCGTCAATAAGTGATGATGTCAGAATCTGGACCTAAACATGGCTTGAATTGTGATTAATCGTACAGTTGTCATTAGTTGTTATTAATGAAGTTTGTGTTGACGATCTCCCATTAAGTTGGTTTAACTTGTATTGTTATCAACAAAAACTGTATGCAGTTAACCGAATGTGACTCTCTTGATGTGATGACATAAGTCAGATAATAAATTCAGGGAACTAAACGTGAATCTCTTCTTAAAAAGATGAAGAAATGTGACATTCTCAAAATCTATTGCTACCAACCTATCAGTCGAGCCCTATTTTGGCTAGCATTGTTGCGTCCTATTGCGACAGCCTATCTAACTAACATGTTCTACAACATCCTACCTTGATGAGCCGTAGAACAAAATTGTTGAATGTAGTCCTATGCCATTTCATGCCAATCTGACGAATGTACGTCCTATCGAGCCGAGATATCAAACCAAACTGAAAGTATCTCAAGGAAGTCTGATTTACCTTGTTTTGCTCGGACAGCACGTGCCATGTCATACTTTTTTGTTTTCGAGTAAAGTAAGTTGCAGCTATCTGTTGAAGTTTAACATTTCTTCAAACCAGTAATATTCTTCTAGGACAGCACATAATAAAACACCTCCAGACCTGGTGATTCTCTTCTTCTAAGACAGCACATAATAAAACACCTCCAGACCTGGTGATTCTCTTCTTCTAAGACAGCACATAATAAAACACCTCCAGACCTGGTGATTCTCTTCTTCTAAGACAGCACATAATAAAACACCTCCAGACCTGGTGATTCTCTTCTTCTAAGACAGCACATAATAAAACACCTCCAGACCTGGTGATTCTCTTCTTCTAAGACAGCACATAATAAAACACCTCCAGACCTGGTGATTCTCTTCTTCTAAGACAGCACACATTAAAACACCTCCAGACCTGGTGATTCTCTTCTTCTAAGACAGCACACATTAAAACACCTCCAGACCTGGTGATTCTCTTCTTCTAAGACAGCACATAATAAAACACCTCCAGACCTGGTGATTCTCTTCTTCTAAGACAGCACATAATAAAACACCTCCAGACCTGGTGATTCTCTTCTTCTAAGACAGCACATAATAAAACACCTCCAGACCTGGTGATTCTCTTCTTCTAAGACAGCACATAATAAAACACCTCCAGACCTGGTGATTCTCTTCTTCTAAGACAGCACACATTAAAACACCTCCAGACCTGGTGATTCTCTTCTTCTAAGACAGCACATAATAAAACACCTCCAGACCTGATGATTCTCTTCTTCTAAGACAGCACACAATAAAACACCTCCAGACCTGGTGATTCTCTTCTTCTAAGACAGCACATAATAAAACACCTCCAGACCTGGTGATTCTCTTCTTCTAAGACAGCACATAATAAAACACCTCCAGACCTGGTGATTCTCTTCTTCTAAGACAGCACATAATAAAACACCTCCAGACCTGGTGATTCTCTTCTTCTAAGACAGCACACATTAAAACACCTCCAGACCTGGTGATTCTCTTCTTCTAAGACAGCACACAATAAAACACCTCCAGACCTGGTGATTCTCTTCTTCTAAGACAGCACATAATAAAACACCTCCAGACCTGGTGATTCTCTTCTTCTAAGACAGCACATAATAAAACACC